CCCCCGAACCCGCCGCCGCCCCGGCCGCCGCCACCGTCGCCGCCGCCGCCGCCGCCGCCGCGGTTCCCGCCGCTGCCTCGGCCGCCGCCGCCGCCGCCGTCGCCGCCGTTCCCGCCCTTCCCGCCGTCCGTTCCTCTCTGCTACTACACGTCTCAAGGCGCTCAGCCCTTCCCCGCGATTCCCCCTCAAACTCTGCAAAACTCGGACGAATCTGCCGGCGGACTCTTCTCGGGCGGCTCGGCCTTCCTGCCAAGCGACCAGCAGCAGGCATATTTCAGCCAGCAGCAGGGTGTCACCGCCAACAGCGGCACCACCGAGCAGTACCCTGTCGTGCTCAGCACCGCCCCTGCCGCCCCTGCGACCGCGAGCGGCGGCGCCGCGTGGTTGAAGGGCCTGCTCGGCCGCCGGCGGCGGCTGCAGCAGCTCCTCGCCCAGCCGTCCTCATCGGCGCTGCAGGCGGCGCTGCAGGCGCAGCTCCTGCAGCTTCTACGGCAGCAGCAAGGCACCGCTGCCGAGGGTGCCACGGGTTTCCTTGGCAGCAGCGGCTTGCCTGTTGGCGACGGCAACAATCAGCTGTTCTTCCAGGGATCATTGGGCACAGCAAACCAGCAGTACGTGCAACAGCAGCCTGCGGGGACCGTCGGCGCGCGCGTGGGCAATGACCAATTCGCGCAGCCCGCCGCCAACGCCGGCCAGTTTGTCCAGTCCGCGGCGCATGGCGGCGCCGGCGGCCAGGCGGGCGGGGGCGGCAGCTTCTACTGGAGCGGCGGCTACTGGGGCTACTGCCCTGACACCCCCACCGCTGCCGCCCCTGCGGCGGCTCCGCCGGCCCTGGGGAGGCTCGAGGCAATCATCACGTCCCCAAAGGCGGGCTTGCGCGTTCTGACGGGCCCCACAGGGTCCGCGAGCGTCATTCTTGACGGGTCGTCGAGCGTGCCCGCGCCGGGCCGCAGGATCGTGTCGTGGGCATGGATGGTGGCGCTGGAGCCCGACAAGACGGTGGTGTCAACGGGGCTGGGGGCGGTTGTGAAAAAGACCCTCGGGGCGGGACAGTATACCTTAACTCTGCGGGTGTGTAGGCGGGTGATACGGCCCGGCGCCTGGTTGCTTGCAATGAACGGTTTGCTTGCAATCATGATGCCATGCAGCCGTGTGAGCCCCCAAATTATGCAATGAGGGTTACCAGCTGCAGGTTGAGGGGTTTGCTTGCCGAGGGGCACGGCTCATTCTCATGGGGCTCAGCACGGGGGCATGCAGCCGCAGATACTTGGGGTCTTGTTGCACGCGGCAACCGCTGCTGACAACCAACCTAACACCCACATTCAGCAGCAAGTACCCTGCCTACTAACCGGGACGAATCCAATGCTTGTCACAACAAACAGGTGCAAGACAACCTCGGCTTCTCGGCGCAGTCCCAGGTCACTGTCACCATCTCCGCGCCCGACGCAGCCCTGCAGGCCAGGGTCACCTCCCCGGCCGCCTTCACCGCCCAGAGCATGGACGGCAATACAACCGTCACGCTGGACGGCAGCGCGAGCACGGCGCTGCCTGGGCGCCCCATCCAGCTCTGGTCTTGGGAGGTCAGGGCTGACCCGCTGCAGAGCAATCCAAACTTTCTGATATCTGCCTTCGGCGCCAAAGCACAAGTTACTCTGCCAGTCGGCGTGTACAACGTCACCCTTCACATCAGCGACGGCTCAGGCCTCACCAGCGCGGCGAGCCGCTCGTTTGTCATCGGCGCGGGTCGCGCAGACGGCTTGATTGCCGTGATCTCGCAGCCCGGGCCGTGGGTGGCCCCGCCGCCGCTGCCACCTGCACCCTCGCCGTCGCCGCGCACTAAGTGGGTCCCTGTGCGCCTCGACGCGCGCGGCACGACGCCGTCGCCCGGCAACTCCATGACCCAGTATGTGTGGGCGGTGCTCAGGCTGCCCGACAAGACACCCGTCGCAAACGCTAGCGGGATCGCGCCAGCGGGCGCCACCACCGTCGTGTCCCTGGCACCCGGGGACTACCAATTGGGGCTGCTAGCCATCGACGCGTCTGGGGACAACGCAATCGCCAAGAAAAACTTCTCGGTGGCGGCCCCCGTCGGCAGAAACTCCCCGCCGACGCTGCCGGCCGGGCTGGCGGCAAGCGGCCCGAGCGGGGGCGTGGCCGTGCTGCCGGCGATTACTGATCCGGATCTGGACCCCGTGCAGCTGTCTTGGGTGCTCGACCCTGGAGGCCTTGGGGTCCTGGGGCAGGGGACCGTCGTCAGCTTGCGCGGCGTGGCGCCCGGCGATTACACCCTCAGCCTGACCGCGTCTGACAGCCGCGGCGCGTCCTCGTCCGCCATGATGAGGCTGCGCGTGCTGCCCGCCGGCGGCGGCGCAGCGCCGGGGCTGCCGCTCAGGCTGCCGTCGCTCACGCTGTGCGTGGGCGCAGCAATGATACTGGACGCTGGGGCGACCGGCGTGCCCGGTACGGACCGGGGGCGCTACAATTATGCGTGGGCGCTATTCCGAAAGGCGAGCGGGATACAAATTGACAGCTCAGATTGCGCCGTTGCGCGCTTCAATCTGACAAGTGCTGACACATACCAGCTCGTCCTCAAAGTCTACCTGAAAAACAGCATCAGTGGCAGCGCCGATGGCAGCGGCATCGGCATCGACACGCCTTCAGGAGTGGCAACAAGCAATATCAGGGTGCAGCCGCGCGCAGAAGGGGCACCATTGCTGCCCCGACTCGCCACGGGCGTTGGCTGCGGGCCGCTGGCGGCCGACGCCGCGGCGAGCACGGTGTTGAGCTGCCCAGCGCTGCGGTTTGTGGACGCGCAAGGGAGGAACTACACCAACACAAACTGGGCGTGGCGTGTGAGTGACACTCAAACAAGTGCCGTCAGGACGGGCTACGGCCGCCAATTCGATGCTGGCAGGTTTGTGGGCGTGAGACGCTGCCGGTGAAGCACTTTTGTTCTTGTCGCTTTTGGGTGTGGGGTGGCTCGTCATGTACTGGCGGGCTGCCTGCATTGCTGTGGTGACACCAGTCCAGCAAACGCCAGTAGGCCGCTGTACATCAAAAAGTGCACGATCATATCTCTTTGTTGCTCCTCCTCCACGCCGCTCCGCAGGCTGCCAGCCGGGCAGTACATAGTAGAGGTGGCAGTCGGCGCGTTTGGCCAAGCCCCCAAGGTTGACACCACCGCCCTCTTCTTGTCCACCACCCTCGTGGTGAGAGGTCCTGCCCTGCCTCTTATAATGAAGGCTTGCATGCAGGCCCTGTCAGCATCTTACCTGCCAGCAATTGGGCCTGCAAACAACACTCGGGGACAAACAACACGTCAATGATGGTGCTGCTGTCTCCCCCGCTTTCACACCAACACGTGATACAAGATGCGTGCAAATGATTGACCCAGCACCTCTGTCGCCATGCACCGGCATCTCAGGTGGCTGCCGCCCCCAGCACCGCCCCGTTGGTGACCAAGGCCATCCCTGGGCCATCGGGAAAGATGGCCCTGCAATCACCGCTACCCAAGCCCTCACCCAAGCCACTGCCTGCGCCTGCGGCCAAGCCCGCCCTCAGCCGGGTGTCTGCTTGATGAACTGTGCATTTGACATGAGTCTGAGGTGCATCGAGGTGCATTTGAGAATTGTCTGATGAGCTGGACCCGACAATGGCAATTTTGGCAGTGATAGGCTGCTGCTTGCTGCTATTATTGCAAGCATCCGTCCGTCCCTATGCTCAGCAGGGTTTTTGTAAGCATTACTACCAGGTCGCCGTCCCGCGGGTTGAGTCACCCTGCAACGAGTGTAAAACATCCTCATTCTCAGCGAAGCGGTTGGTGGCCTGAATGCAGAACTTGGAGGTGCAGGTGCGTACAAACAGCCATGTTCCACTTTGCTTTGACGATGTATGGCAGTGGTGATATTTGGCCGGCAGCAGCCTGGCTGCATATCGCTTGGACAGCAACAGCCTGACTGTATGGCGCCTGGACTTTTTGGGACATCGCCGCCAATTTTCTTTGTGTCTTACAATTATGGCAGCTCACTCAATATACGTATAATTCAAACACATGCAGATGTATGATGAAATGCAAGATTTAAAACCCTTGATACGGAGCCGCAGCCCGCACGCAGACAGCCATTTGCAGCCAGGTGCTTCATACAGACGTATATATACTGCAGCCAAGCCAGCCCACTTGCCATCGCATGGCGGTCTGCACACGATGGTTGATGGCGGGCTCGCCGCCGCTCACTCGCACGTGGGTCTGAAAAATGTCTTGAATCAGCAACAGCATCAAATACGGCACGTCCGCCCATGCAGCAAATGCGAGATGGCGCCCCAGTCCAACGCTGCGCGCTGTTTGTGTGTTGCGGGTCCGTGGCCATGAAACAACCCGCGCGCCAGGAGCCATCCATTAATAAAATTTTTAGTCAGTGTGCCTCAAAAAGCAGGGAACGCCGTGCTTGCATCTTCCCCCAGGCCGCAGGGACCTCGGGCGGTTGTCATGGAAACGTGTCAGCAGCAGCAAGTTTGCAACCCACGAGGATGATATCAGGGAGCGTTCACAACCAGCGTGCGGCGTGGAGCGATAAGGCATACGTATGCGCGCCTTCTCTGCCTCCTGCCGCACAGCCTTGGCCCAGGAGTGTGAGCTGGTTTCGTTGGCTTCGAAAGGGCGCGCTCTCACCCAAGGTTGGGCCAGTGCTGTACGCGGCGCGAGGGAACCGGTGGCAAGTGGGGCAACGGCTTGTTGCTGCGGCGGGCCGGGTCTGCAGTGGGGCGGAGCCCTCACCTGGCAGTTGGTGTGGCCAGCGTCAGACGCGGCAGAGCGCCTGCACAGCCAAGCAGCAAGGGCAAGTGCAGCGCGCGAGGGCGCAAGAAAGGGGAGAAGGGAGGGTGCAAAACGTGCATGGCCGCCACGTGAGGACGGCAACATGGGTGCATTGCTTGGGATAGAGGCACCAGGCGCCGCCTGCAGCCTGCTTTTGTCACCCTGCTCACAGAGTGTCGCGGAAGCTTTAAGGATTGACCAATTGCACGTACGATGGGTTGATGAGTCAAGAGGTCGCTCGTGTGCATACGTGCATGTTTGTGCTTGCCGGTGCGTCAGCGCGGGTGTACGCACACCCAGGTTGTGGACCTTTCAATCGATGCTCTGGTGCGAGGGCAGTATCCGCACAGGCGGTCTCACTCACGCCCCCGGCTCAGAGCCGCGCAGCTTCCAGGCTGGCCCGGACGCCTCGTCAGATCGAATCGTCTCTTGTCAGATCACTCCACGATTCTGATGTCGACGCCGTGCTCTTGTGCGAGTGTCTCGAGGGCGATGATGAAGCGGGCCTGGAGGGCTTCGAGGGGCTCCCCGGGCAGGGGCATCACGGGGTGGCCAAAAACGACCTTCAGAGGCCGCGGCCTGCGGGTAGCGATGAAGTATGGTTGCGAATGTGGTGAAGTCAGGTGTGGGCGAGGGCGAGCCCGGAGTGTTGACCGACCCTGTGAGGGACACGAGCATGCAGGGATGAGCCAAGGTGCTACAGACACCTCAATCAGGTATGCATGCCCCCTAAACCCATAACTGCATTTGGCACGCAGGCAGTGGCGCATGCAGCGCACGAGGGCTCGCCGTAGCCATGCACTCACCTGTAGCAGATCAGCCACCGCAGCATCACTGCGCCCGTGCCTCCCACGCCAGTAACCTCGGGCTCCCCGACGCCCAGCACCGGCACCAGCGGGGTGCCAACCTCGGCCGCAAGCTTGATGAATCCGAGGCGCCGCCGCAGGACCAGATCGTAGGTGCCCATCAGCTTCGCCTCGCGCCAGCCGCCGGGGCAGATCGTGATGGAGGAGCCCTGACAGGGTCACAAGGGGCATTGGACCGCGCAGAGATTGGCCCTAACTGGGGGCTTGCGGGCTGTGCGTGGTGCGGGCCAGGAGAGTGTGGTTTGGTGCCGTCAACACGGGCACGGCATTCGCAGCCTCGGATAGTGGGGCCTCTGTCAGCCTCAAATGGCCCATGCGCTTTGTTGAGCGTGCGGGGCGAATCGCCTCTGCGTCAGAGTCGTCAACCCAAACCTCGGCCGCGGATCAACACCGTGCCCGTGCACTGCACCGCCCTGCCACAAGGGAACGCCCTGCCTTGGAACCCGCCTGGGCCAGGCAGAACCTGAGCCGCCCCTTAAGCAGAAGGTCCCTCGCTCATCAGCATGCGTACCTGAGGGGACTGCAGGATCGACTTGAGGTTGCCATATGACGCGTCAGTGCAGCCCGCCAACAGCAGCGCCTGCTGCATCACCGGCACCCGCAGCACCGGGCTGCCGACCGCGAGCCTCACACCGCCCGGCAGCGCCGACATGGGGCCGAGTCGGCCGGCGGCCGCGAAGGTATGCAGCGCGCCGCGCGCGAGGAAGCCCTGGGGGCAGTAGGCGAAAATGAAGCGCTGTTGCTGCTGCTGCTGCGGCTGGGGCACTGACTGCGCCATGCGAGCCGGAGATGCAAGTGCCGCGCCTGTGTCAGACCCAAGTGAAAAGTCAGACGTCCCAGAGAACTCGGATGTGAGGTACGACGAGCCGTCGCTCCGGAGGCTGGGCGCGGCGAACGAGCTCCAGCGGCGACTCAGGCCAAAGGACGGGGCCGGGGGCAGCAGCGCCTCGCCGGCCGCGGCGTGGTGCGCATCTGTGCACACGTGTGCGTGCGCCTGCTGCGGGCGCTCCCAAAGGGAGCTCTCGTCGCTGCCGAGGCTCTCGCTGCGCTCGAAAGCCTCGCGCGGCGGCGCGGCGTGCGCCGCGGCCTTCGCGAACTGCCGGCGCGCCTCCTCAGATGCCGCGGCGGCGTCGAACGCGCCGGGCGCGCCGGGCGGCGCGTAGCCAACGCCGTACTCGCGCCGCAGCCAGTCCCAGATGCCGAGGCTCGTCACAAACGCGGCCGCGCGGCCACCAAGCAATGCACAAGGGATCGACAAGGGCGTGAAGACGTGGGCAGCCAGGATTGCTGCAAACACCGCCGGCTGAAGATAAGCAAAGTAGGCGGTGCCCCAGATCACGGCGAAGTATCCGAGGTTAAGGGCCATTAGGTGCAGCGGGTGGTGGGGCTCAGGAGGGGATGCCACCTGGAAGAGGTCGTCCCTGGGGTGTTGGGGTTTATGGTTTCATGGGATGGGATCAGGAGATTAGGGTTTGGTGATTGGAAACTTGGGGGCTTGGAAACTGTCTCAAAGTTGGGAGCTGCTGCGTACAGTAAGCCAAGCAAATCAGGCCGTAGCTCGATGAGGGCGGTCAGCATGAGAGCAAGCGGGTTAGGTGGGGATCAGGGTTGAGCTGGACGGGGTGGGTTGGGTTAAGAGGTGGGAGCGGCTGGATGCCGCATGCAATGCCCTCGTGATGCAGGTTCAGGGCCGTGCACTTTCACAGGCCCATGCACTAGCTTCCCCCCCCCCCGCCCCCCCGCAAGCCGGCTGGCCACCTGGCTACAACAGGCTTTGTGGCCTTCAAGGCACATGCAGGCCCAGGGGTCCCTGGCGCCCACATGCGGGTTCTGACGCCATCCCCGATAGCCCACCCCAAACCGGGCCCCACGCGTCAATGGTGCCGCCCACCCCCTCACCAGTAGGTGAAGAACAGCGAGTAGTTGGAGTTGGGGCGCAGGTGGTGGGTTTGGTGGTCCATCGGCCGCGCCGAGTTCGCAACACACAGGGCCACAGCCTGCGGGGGTGTGGCAGGGCCAGACGGGATTGTGAGATCGACAGACTCACCAGTGTGCGAACGGCACCCAGAGGAGGGCAGCAAGAGCATGTGGGGCGATGTTGTGAAACGCGGATGTGTCGCTTCAGGGTGCTGCCAGCTCGCTGCTCCCAGCCGCCCCGACCGCTGCAGCTGGGTCTACAGGATCGGCCTCTGCGCAGGCCACCTTCGGCAAGGCCGCTGAGGACGACCAGCTGATGCATCAGCTTATGTATCAGCTTCTGTTTTGCGCCCCTGCGAGCGAAAAGCAGCAAGCACCCTGTGCTGTCCAGCTGGAAGCGGCGCGCCGTGCCTTCCGGCGGTGTCCGCGGTCCGAGTTTCGGTCCTGGACACAACGGTCAAGTCAAACCAAGTTGACCGTCTCACCAGGAAAGGGTTGAGGAGGGTGAACAGGGCATCTGGCACGATATTGTCGTTCGTCAGGTGGAAGCCGCTGTGGCCCAAGATGAAGATGTACAGCGTGGTGTGGGCCTGGCGGGAAAATTGTGTGGGCGTGTGTGTGTGTGTGTGTGTGTGTGTGTGTGTGTGTGTGTGTACATGTGTGTGTGTGTGTCCGGTAATGTGAATTTGCCAAGCAAGGTTCGGTAAGCATTTTAGGATGGCGGGTATTGATTGCGGAGTGCAGCGATAACAGCAGCGGCTTGGGAACTTGGATGGGTGGTCGTGCAGTGCAGCCATGCGGATGCGTGTCGCATGGGGCGACGGCGGTGCCGCACCAAGAGGCTTTCTGCCGGGACGCCTCTCAGACGATATGCTTCTCAGACGATCATGGCGTCCTGACCGCCGCCGTTCTGAACCAAACTCCCACACCCACAAAAGCTCACACCTGGCAGCTTTCAGCAATGTGGCGGGACATAATTTCGCCCCATGCTCACCGGGACGAAGACATACCACCAGCTGCGGCCCAGCCAGTGCCAGGCGATCAGCACGAGGAAGGCCATGGGCAGGCCGACAAAGAAGACGCCCTCCTGGGCCGTCACCCAGCTGATTGTGTGCCGTGAGGGTGGGCG